ATAATATTTTACTGTGATTGATAGTTACTGTACTATTTCGCATATACTATGAATGCGTCGTGTCAAAAAGTCAAACGGTTCACGGACTTCAGCATACTGAACTTTTGAACGGTTTTTTTGCAATTGGACGTTCTAAATATAGGTCTGTCAATATTTGATGGTACTATTTCTAACGAACAATTTTGAAGAATAATATTCATGAACAAATACAGATGTAGCTTTAGCTCATTTTTCATAGGTCTTATGTGATCTTTGGTTTCAGCCCAGAACCTTCTTTTTAGACTGTTGATAAATCTTAATAAATTGTATTTGATAAACATACGCGTTCAATAAACTTGCAATATTTATTTTAATATACATACAATAAGATAAAAATGAAATAAACAGTTTGCTCGTTTTAAACTGCATAATTTATGAAACAAAACTAGCAATTGCTGTCTTACTTGATACTAGCTATTGAAAGATCAGCAAAAAAAGATATTATATACTTTCTTTCGTAACATTCTATCCACATTGAAATTAAGTTTTTTGAAATATGAAATAATTGTAACGAGATATGTATGATTATCAAAAATATTTATGAAAGTTTTGATGCAACGATCGGTCACAAACACCTATACCAATGAAATTATTCTAGTTATTACTAAGACGAATTTGAGAGAGATACACGCGCCACAAGAGAGATTGACATTAAGAAAACGCTGAATGTGATACTTCTATTCACAGCGATCAATGTGTGTAAACATTTGTCTCTTCTGAAATATACATTTCCATCACGAACAATAAGTTAGACTATGGAATGTTGGTAAAAGTGAATGACGCTGACTTTTCAATTCAATACATGATTGTTAATCTTGTCTTTTTTATCCAAAATTTGATTGGCATCTGTTATATACATCACACTATCTATCACGAATGATCTGTCGGTGAATATATATTAATCTAAAAGTTCCACCACTCTTGCCGAAGAAACTAAATGATATAGAATACATAAATATCTGTTATACATATTGAATATAATTTAGTTGCCTTTAATAAAATCTACGCAACAGAAAAGATCAATCAGATGTGATAAGAATACTCAATAACTAAATATTGATGTCGCTTGTACGGTACGACCTACAAGCGGGCTATGCATTATCTATATTAATCATCATTGCTCAGGTAGAGAATGCTGTGACCTATAATCATTCCNATAAATATCTAATAAGAGAGGATAGCAGAATTATTTCACATCACTAACAAACACGTTCGCTATCATATCACTCTGATTTCAAAAATCATTTTCCAAAAGAGAGGATTTCTCTCTTCAGCGCTATACAATGCGCTGTACACACGTACGTGTGAATAAGAAGCGATTGTAACATTATCTTTTTCTCGTTTCATCTGTCATCTCATTTTCAACCATCGATTAATCAGATGCTTCTTTTAACAGCAGATATTGTTGAATTGTGAACAAAAATATTCAACTTATTCTAGTTTCAAAATCAATATCGAACACAGAGAATCTGGATCGAAAACTTCAGGATGTGTTAGAAAAGAATATTTTTTCCGATTTTAGACCTTGAAATGGTTTGTTTATAAATGATTTTATATCGCGATTTCAATTGAGAGATACGTGTGGGGCAGAAGGTCCATTATCAGACTAGATATTCGAACAGTATAAATCATATTAATTTGAAATTCGTGCAGAAAAGTGAAGAAACAAGAAAAAGGAAAAAAAGAAGGTTGCTTTAAAAAACGAGAGTACATGCAATATCTATCATTATGAATCAATATCGTAACTGTATCGAAGAAAAAATATAACTTATTCCACGAAATAGAAAGTTGCCAGCTGGACAGAGTAAGTTCTGCTGCTTGTATGGTGCCAATTCATGTGATATTGTTATAGATTTCGAGTTGATCATTGTTTATCGTTTATTATCTGTGGTGTATCAACTGGTCGTTTTGATTTTGTGAGTATAACCGAGTCTAGTCTTCGACTAGCAATACGATTCCCGTTATTGGGAAAGCATGAGTAGCTCTTACGGGCTACAAAACGATTGATCGATTTGACAAATGATATGCTGTGTGGGTTTATACATTTGTAAGAGAATGACTATAACTGTATCGCTTAGATCAGTCAAATAAAAGTTTATGTATACATTTCATTGAGACGCACGAGTATCGAAATTTCGACACACAATTAGAGAATAAACAATAACGATAAGCGAGAAAAGAACTCTCAGCTACAGAAGTCGTTTCAGTAACTCAAATCAGGCAGCTACTCAGAAAACAAACATACTAGAATGTGCAACGTAAAGGATAGTAAATTTCGTTGAGAAAAATCCACAATTGAGAGACAATCTTGAGCACAAGAAATCAGTCGCTACTGACGCTTAGAACAATAGAAGAATAAATAGCATGAGATTGAGCAGAAAAAAGAAAATAGGCAAAGTTGAACAGACGTCAGTAATTGAGCATGAGAATGGCTCATACAGCATTATTTTTGATCAATATGATCGAATACGAGCTCATTTGAATATGATCACTCAGTGAGTGAAATCGAATAACCGTTCTCGATGACGGCATTGCGTCTCAGAATGATACGAATAAGCGAATGTCGATTACAAGCGCAGTTTCGGCATCCACTATGATTCAATACAATGTGTAACAAAATTATATGCGATTGAAAAGGAAAGTATTGTTTCAGATGATGATAGAAACATGTTTGAGATAAATGTGTGAAAATTCACAGAGCATTGAAGTTCGACTGTGAAACAAATTAGGTCTATGATATGA